CTGCCTCCTGTCCCACGTGGCTTCCTGCCCGGAATCGTGCCTGGCACTCACCAACGAGGCTTTGTGTTCCGAGATAAAGAACACGTTCCTCACCCCCAAACTGGTCCCGGGTTGGTCTGTCTTGTCCCTATCTTGGTGGCCTCAGAAGGGATGGTGCCACTTCCCAGCAGGGGAAACCGACGTCTAGAGATGCACAGGTCTGCGGAACCAGAGGAGGGGTCTGTCTCCCGCTTTGGGGGTGAAGGTGGAGCGGAGAGGTGGTGAGTTGGCAGTGTTAGGGCACCGTGGGGAGAAAGGAAGTAAAAAGGAATATGACCATTGCCACAAGGAGAGAGGCCAGATTCCAGCCCTCTAGGGGAATTGGATACTATGTAACCCAGAGAGTGTCTTTTGAGTCCTTCTTATGTGCCAACTGGCGTGGGAGGCACCGCATGAATCAGTCATTGTCCCTGACATTTAGGAGATAAGACAAGCATGTAAATCCCCACAAAACAAGAGAACAAGAGACCAAGGTCACAGAGAGGTGCCAACAGGCGGGCAGTGGGGGGCGGTCATCACTGCCTTCCCTGCCACCTTCCAGGCTTCCCGGAGGCTGTGAGCAGAGCTACGAAGCAAGGGCAGCGGGGCTTTCAGAGACCAGAGGAAGTACGAATTATTTTCTGATTATAATTTCTGATTAAAAAGAAGCACATGCCATTATGTCAGAGAAAGCCCTCCAGTTCTGTGCTTGCTTTATTGTCTACATATCACTTCGCACTTCCCACTGAGAGTCTGTTCCTAGCTGCCCATTACCTTTGTCTGTATCACCCTCTTGAGAGCCCATGGGAGCAGGGCTGGGCTGTGTGTACCTCATTTTATCCCCACTGCCTAGTACATAGTAGGTGCTCAATACACATTTGTTAAGTAAGAAGAGAATTTTATATATAATATGTAAACATTTTATATATATGAAAGGAATAATATAAGAAAAGAATTTTACATATATATAATACTTTATGGCATCAGTATCATGCCTGTATATGGTTGTATATACTGTGTTTTTCCCACGACTTGCATTTCTTTTTGGCTGCACCACACTGCTAGTGGGATCTGAGTTCCCAGACCAGGGATCAAACCCATGCCCTCGGCAGTGAAAGCACGGAATCCTAACCACTGAACCACCAGGGAATTCCCTATGACCTGCTTTTTATTTTTTTAAGGCACTTTTCCTGTCATTAAATAGTCTTCAAGAACATAATGCCATTTGCAGCTATATATAGCTGGGACTTCCCTGGTGGTCTAAGACTCTGTGCTCCTAATGCAGGGGGCCCGGGTTCAATGCCCGGTCAGGGAACTAGATCCTGCATGCCGCAACTAAAGATCCTGCATGCCGCAACGAAGATCCCACGTGCCACAAGTAAGACCTAGCCCAGCCAAATAAATAAACAAATATTGAAAACAACCCACACAGCTATCTAGTGTTCCATGACACTGCTCTTACATTACCTGCACTTTATTTCACCCCACCCGTCCTAATTTTTATTTAATTGTATCTGGGGGACTTAAACCAGGAAATAGATAAAGGAATGTAAAGGCTTTCCTGGTGGAAGGATAGGGCAAAGGTAGGATCAGGGGGTGGGCTGGGGGGAATATGAATAAAATCTTAAAGGTGTTGAATTCAGGAATGGGGTCGAGAGGGCCATGCGGCCAGGGAATCCTGGACCCAGTGGTGTGTTGTTAAATTGCTTCTCCAAAACAAATTGTAGTGTTTATTTGCTTATTTCCATGGTGCAAATTCTCCTCCTGTGGTTGATTTCAAGTTCCTGATGCAGCATTGCTGAACACGGGGTTGGAAGGGCGTGGGCGCAGCCGGCTCTCAGGGACCACTAGGCGCAAGCTTCAGCACAGCCCTGTCAGTGCCGAGGCCTGATCCCCACTCTGGTATGAGGAGCCCTCTCCACTCTGTGTCTGTGAGCCCTCCCTGGGCCCCAGGCCCAGCATCTCAGATGAAGGGGGTGGGACTCGTCCTGGGTAGTGAGGCCCATCGGGGTGCAGGAGCCCAATCTTGAGATCTTGCTATCAGATTTCACAGCTGGGATGCAAACCCCCAGATTCCCCCAGCTCAGCAACTCGGAGCTGCACTGGCTCCACTGAAGTGTGGCCGCTCCATCCATCCCTGGAATTTAGGGCTGGGCCTGGCGCTCTGCCCCAGCCACAGAGTCCTTAGGACCCAGCCTCAGAGCTCAGTCACCCAGTGGGGCTCAAGGTCAGGCACAGTGGTGGGATCAGGATGTTCCATTATGGCCATGACACTTATGAGCACTTGCTGTATGCCAGGCTGTGCTGAACGTTTGACGTTTCATTCATCGCATCCTCACACCCAGCCTAGAATGTGGCTTCCTGCTCAGCTCCGGCAGTTGGGCCAAGATGGCTGGTGGTGGTTTGGTTGGCATCCCAGGTGGCCCTAGGACAAGGCCCCCAGGTTCCATCAAGGGTCCCTGGGGGCTGGATAGCCTATCTGAGGTCTCTTTTTCAGAAGAAAAAGGTTTCGCCACAAGTTCCCACCTAGGTGAGTGGGGTCGGGGAGAGGCAGGACACCTGTCTTGAAGTAGCAGTCGCATAACAAGTACCATTTTCCCCTCCTGAGCATCTGGGGTAACTGCTAAAGATTATGGGAGGGCTTTAACTACTCCCTCAGGGCTACCACTGCTCTGGAATCAATGCTGCATCACCCCTCATACCCTGTTGAAGGATGTTGCAATACTTCTAAGCCTTGGGGCCAGCCCTGCTAGGCCCATTTCCCAGATGGGGTAACTGAGGCCCAGACTTTGGAAGGACTCACCAGATGGAGGCCAGCCAGGGAAAGAATTCCAGGGATCTGAATTCCTCACCAGCCTGGCTGGGGTGCTGGGTGGGAAGTCAAGGAGGGAGACGGGGAAGCAGATCATGGGGCTGCTCCTGTGGCTGGGCAGGGCCCTTCTGGAATTGCCAGTCTGGGCATTGACTCCTGAAATCAATAAGTAGAGCCTTCGCATTGGTGCCCAGCCCTGGGCTGACCTGACCGGAAAAAGTCCCTTCTGAGAACTCTTAGGCAGGTAAACAACAAACTCATGCGGAGAGATAGTGTGTGTGTATCTGTCAGGGACAGGCCTTTCCAGTCACATTATCACATTTAAAACTCGAAAACTGTGCAAACCTGGAGCTGTGGGAGCAGAGAAAAAGGGGAGAAAACCTCTGCCTGGCATGGGAGGACATCCCGGAAGACTTCCTAGGAGAGGTGATATTTGAGCTATGCCTTGAAGAACAATAATAATAATAGCAAACACTTTCTGAAAACTTCTTATGTGCCTGTCGGTGTTCTGAGATCTGTATCTGCTTCCTTCATATCTGTTTTATCTCATCTAATTCTCTCAAAACCCTGTGAGCGAGATACTATAATAACATATGAACCGATGAGAAAACCAAACCAGGGCACAGCGAGGTTAAGAGATTTGCCCAAGACCACACAGCTACCAATGGCGGAGTCAGCATTCAAATCCAGAGAGGCAAATCAATGACTGACTGTAAGACCTTCCGAGTGCTATTTAATCCCTCTGAACCTCAGTTTGTGTATCCATACAAGGTGCGGGGGGGGGGGGG